TGCGCATGAGGCACCAATGAACTAGCCACTACACAACGCTTTTTCATTTCCCGGTATTATGTAAGTCTTGATCTAATTTCTTGGTGGAGCCTGAAACAAAAACTAATCGCACTTGTTAGTCAAACTAGAGAATCACTTAGTAGATGAGCCGTTACATCATACCCTCCAGGATGTTAAATAATGAAGCACAATAACAATGTTGCAGGTCACAAAAAGGCAAAGCTAAGGAAATATATACATAGACTTTCTTTAAGAACAACTAGTTTGCCTCCGTTGAACCTTGAAACGTATGGGTTAAAGTGGAAAATAAATACTAATGAACAGTTTACTTCAACCCAGTGTTTGATTGCTGTCCATGAATCATAATAAGAGGTGATTTAATTTAACCTTGATTTTATGAAATAAAGCTGCCATATCCGTTAAAATTCATAACCGTTTTTGAGCGATATAAGTTTAAAAACCTTACTAAAGAACGAAAAATAAGTCCTTTTAGCTGTCTTAATAGCTATTTTTAGACTAGCTTCCATATAAATTTAGGAAAATCATGAAAAGTTACGAAAAGTAACTGAGTTTCGATGATTCTCATACGACAACATTGTTGAGGGACATTTAATTTCATATAAAAGTGCATGCTTGGGAGATTCGTATTTCGATTTCACCAGAAGACGACATCTGATTCCGGTTGAGCTTAAGCCATTTAACTTTAATACTATTTTCAGATTGATGCAGTCGACGAGACCTACCCCCTGGTTTCGAGCGAAAATGGACTAAGCTTTCGTACATCCTATAATGGTTATAGTCGAAGCTCTGATAATCTCTATCCTATGATGGTTAAAAGTTCAGCCTGTTTTAACCCTAAATGAGAGCGGATATCTCGTGGATTGCGTCAAGAGAAAACACTATATTAAAACTAAACAGCGGCAACCGCCTTTTTCTGATAAGATTAAACTTCGAATCTTTTTTTCATATACTTTTATACAAAATAAAAGCTCTCCAGCAATATTATCTTAGGATATCCATATAAACCTATCTGTTCTTTGTATCTACAATAAAATTACAATTTGAAAGATATAAACGAAGTTTAATGCATTGATAAAGGTTTACTCAAATAAGTCACAGCATATAAAAGAATACGTGAAATTTATTACGTATTTGCATAAATATATATTTTTTACTTTATCTTTTAAAAGATTATGTAGCACTAATACTCTAATTTTTCCAATTCGGAACAATTATGTCTTACAATGTGCTCCCCTTGCCTCTAAAAGGTTTCCTTAATGAAATTGAAAAATTATAATAGACACTTAGGGGTAACGCACAATGTAAGAAATGATATAATTTCTATTAGGCTTTGCAGGCTTTGAGTCTGCGAAAGATACATTTATTTTTTTACTAGCAAAACACCTGGCGAACGTCATTACTTATTCAAAGAAATGTAATGGCCAGTAAACGGTCTAAAAACATATAAGCATAACTAACTAAATTTTTAAAAGCCTTTTCAATGAGATTTTTAAAATCTAAATGTGATCACTTTAATAGTTTTAGTGTTAGCAACCTCAAAAGCGTGTTATTCGATTTTCTATTGGCTCCACTCTTTCCGCTCATGTCTTTCCGCGGCACAATTTTATTGTTAATTATTATCTCTCTAGCTATAATTCTGCACAGCTTGTTATATTATATGGATATGAGGGAATATGCTATTGCTCAGACTATCAAATACAGACCGATTAAGAGCTTGCTAAATAGCAACATCTTAGATGGCTCTGCATCTAATATTTTTTGGTATATACAAGTAGGCCTTGTCCGTTCGTATTTTTTTTAGGTCACTGATCTGCATATTAGCAAATTTGATTCAGGAGGAAGAGCAGCCGATTTTATGCGATTTTGCACCCACCATGTCCGATTACTTAGACCAGACTTGGTAATAATTTCGGGTAAACTGATTATTTGCTTCATTTTAGGTGATATTACTGATTCTAAAACTGAAGAACCTCAGGGCTCAGGGCAAATTTTGGAAGAATGGAGACAATATTATGAGATTATTTCGGAATTAAAACTTGCAAACATAACAAAGATCCTGGATATCAGAGGAAATCATGGTTTGATCTTATTATGATACGCATCTTCAATAGACGCTTTCAATGTGCCTCATGTCGAGCACAGTGAGAACTTGTTTAGGTCCGTATTTCACTTTTTACATCGCGTATAATAGCCAATATTCTGTTCAAGGCCGCGTAAATTCACAAAGCTACATGTACATTCATCAGAAGCCCTTTGGAAAATATTCTTTCATTGGAATAGATGCCTGCATAAATCCAGGGCTTAAGCGCCCGTTGAATAACTTTGGAGTACTAAATGTCGTAAGATGTACCCATTTACAGCATATATTTAAATTTTCACCCTTTTCTGTAGAGTTTTATTCATTTCATTTTCTTTTTTTATCGTTAATTGTATCATATTTGTGATATCGTTCACATGATTAACTCGCATTTATCACAGCCTCACTCAGCATCATAAGGGGATTTTTTACGCTTATGCGAGACTTAATAATCACATTGTGCTAATCTTCTCTAAGAACTTAAGGCATAGTAACCTTTTTGTCTATCTTAGTTAGAAATATTAAAATAAATATATTCCTTTGGCACGACAATATCTGAGAAATTTTCATATTAGCTCGTTGAAATACTTGAGACCTTGATTATTACTTCATTTAAATTTGGGATTATGAATGATCAACTTCTATCTTAATCTGTTTGTCACTTCACGGAAACTTTACATCAACTCTAGCTGTGCTGGAATTTTACAAGCCTTAGTTTAATCAAAGCAATGAAGATCAATATGATATGGCATTTATTTTGGTCGTGGTCTCTTTTCGTTGCATAGAAATAGTCTTTCGTTTTTCCTCTGCACCTGCGATGGCTCAAATCATTTGGACTACAGTATAGAGAGGACTGTGCTTTCCCGGTGTCTGTATCCTCATCAAAGTCTTCTAGTGACCATCTTGTTTGGCCCGCATCCACAAGCCTACCCTTCCAAATTGACTGCGGCAACACCGCTACTTATTAGCTTTAGGCTTCTACAGCGTCTCATTAATCATGGAATTTACGTTGTCATTTTTCCAACAAGCTGATTCGGTTATCCTGTTCTGATTCCCATCTTCACTATCCTTATACTTATCGACTTTTATCCCGGACGCACTTGCAGAGTCCATATATATTAAAGCTAACTGGCTTTGCGCACCTTCTGATCTTTTTTCAATTTCAATATCACATTCTTACGTCATTTATCTTTCCTCTCGGTCTCATGACAGTTACCAGGGTATTATTCGCCAAAAAAAGGTTAAGTCGTTTGATTCGTTTTCAATGTGAAATCAAGGGATTGCTAGTTTTTTCTAGAATGTGGATTGTATTAAAAATTTAATTCTTCCAATTCAGTTAATTTTACATTGCATATACTCAATCAAGGGTTGGTTGAAGTTAAATTCTTATAGGTCGATAATTGATAACCTGTTGATTCTAGTTTATGTATATCTTCTAGAGCTAGAAGCGTTGTTTCTCTATGACTCGGCTATGACTTTTAGGCTAAATGGTGATATGCGTGATATGTGAAAGGTCTGTTTTGCCACAAAATTTATGCTTGCTCTATAACTCTCCATAAATTCATATCGCCTATTAATTGTCATGATTCTCTTACATCTACCCTTTATTTTGTGCTCTGGTGAGTGCTTGGCATAAAAATACGATTAAGTTATGCAAAAATTGATTTATAACATCACTCACTTCTCATTTACTTTCCAAGTGGTCATCACTCAATCTTATTTCATCCACGAAGTTACTGAGAAAATCTGGGTTTCGAAGAATTCCTTAGGGATCTTTTGTCACATAACTTTTCATTATGAAGTAAAGGTTGGTTGGAAGAAATTCGTGGTGGTCCAACCGGAAACCTAATGATAATTGTCACGTAGAGAAGACTGTTGTATTGTGTCTCCTTTTCTCTTTGTTCAGTATATCTTTTTTCTATTTCGTTTAGTATAAATTCCTGCTCTGACGGTTCATCGGGCTCGTAGGACGGTGAGCCGCAGACTTATATTATCTTCACTGATTCTATGGCTCAGCTATTTTCCTGAGATCAAAACGCTATGATTTCCTTTTGGAATTTAATTAATTTAGAGACTTAATCGTTCAAGATAGGTGCTTATTTTTGCCGTAATTTTAATTTTATTCTCAATTAATTTATACCAATTCAGATGAAGGTCTTTTCTGAGACATTTTTTATTACTTTCAGCAAACAATTAAGCTCCTTCACTTGTTTTCTCAACGCTCCATGGGTAGCAATCATACTTTCTGGTTTGGACATTACCCGACTTCTACCATCGTATCTCAAGGTTTTGATCTTCGCTCCCTAATAGGGTATGTCCTTTCATATTACTCATCCTTGAGCACAAGCAATTCTATTTGATTACTTATTCTAACAGTAGCCTTCTCTGACGACCTTTTATCTGCTTAGTCTCATTTCTATTGTGATTTTATGGACTGTTGATGAGTAAATATACAAACATTTTGTCGGCATCATAGTCTATTGCTAGTGATTTTGGTCATCCTTAGCACTGAAATTTAATTAATAAATTTGTTAAGTTAGTATAAACATGTCAGAAGATTGTTTTTTACCCCTCCAGTTTTGAGGAATCCCTTAATAGCTTCATATTGTTGTAACGCGTTTCGTTTCAAAAGACAAGTGAATGGGATTATTTAATCCGCTTCACCAAAAACCGAAAAAGAATCTCCCTGGAACTGTAGCTGAGTTTGTGCTCCTTTCGAAACCACTAACGCGATACTCATAACATACAGTAAAAGCCTTCTATCGGCCCTTATTACCTATCTTGTCTAATTAGTTCGCTTAATTCACCCTATTACATCCTTCGATGATCTCTTTCCTATTTCTGATATCTGTACTAGAGCTTATTTAGGTGGCTAAAGTATAATTCAAGCCCTTCGATAAACAATTGATTTTCTATGCATACATAGTTGTTTTTCGCATGGTGACTTGAAGAGAAGAATTGCTTTTGCAGCAGAATTGCACACTATTTCCAGATCCAAAAATACAAAATACTCTTGAATACCCAGCATTTTTTTATTTTGCTTAAATCCAATCATCACATCCTGCTGGATGTGAAGGGAGAAACTTGTCTGAATCTATAGCTATGTCCTCTGGGCTTGCTGAAAATATTTTTTAAAACCGTGTAACTTCGAGTTGGAATTCCATCCAGTCCTAAATTGAAAAACGTGAAATACTTAATTAAGATAAGCGAATTGGCAACCACAGCTTT